CAGATTTTTGCTTTTGATTGTATCCCACATAATTCTCAGTGTTTCTTCATTTTTCTTCGTTCTTTTTTCTGATTTTTCCTCAGAGTTGTATCCAAGTGTTTGTCTTCAATTTCGCTGATCCTGTCTTCCATTGTTTCCAACCTGCTCCTCAGCCCTTCTATGACCCTGTCCATTTTTGAAATCTTGTTTATCTTTTGGATTTCTAACTGTTGTTTTTGTATGATTTCTAGATGTGAATTTATTTTAGCATTTTGTTCCTGTATTATTTTCTTGAATTCTTCCATTTTTTAATCTGTATTTTCCATGGATTTGTCTGCCTTTTCCATGAAATTGTCTATTTTTTCCTCATTTTGTCTGGTATTTGCTTCAGCTCTTGGATAATTATGAATATTAGATATTTCAGTTCCCTATCAGTTAGGTCTAGTGCCTTTTCTTCTACTGGAAGGTCATCTGGTGTTTTATTTTGGACTCCTACTGGAGCCATCCTGTCTTGTTTTTGTAAATGTTTTGATATTGTCTTCTGTCTTCAGGGCATTCAGTGGTTATTTTTGTTGTTTATTGATTGTTTTGTTTGTTTCATCCTGCTATTTTGTTTTATTTGGTTATGTCTGAGCAGGCGGGCTGTGCGTTCTTTGTTGTTTGCTCTTCTGTGGGCACGATACTTTTCGCCTCCTTCTCCAATGGGCAGAGTCAGTCACTCAGGTATGGTACAGCAGGGAAGGTCCAGCTGAAGGGGAGTTGCTGGGATAGGTTTTTTGTGGCATGTAGCAGGACTGACAGTGTGGACCGGGAATCAGTGCAGGGCATGTTCCAGTAGGCCATGCCTATGTTGCTTGGGAGTGTGATGTTCAGCGCATGGTGCAGGTAGGCAGGAAGGTGGGGGTAGATTGTGATGTGTAGAGCTAAGATGGGTATGGGAAAGATGAGAAAGAGGAGAGGAACAGGAGCCAAGAACATACACACAAACAAAAAAGAGTGCTAAGCGAGCTTGCTGTTGGAGTGGAGAGATAAGAGACTGAGAAATGGGGAAAAACAAAAATGAAAGAAAAAGGGTGAAAAAAATGAATAAATCTAGAAACTGGAACTGAAGAAAGACAAAAAGGGAATAAGACAATGAAGAAAACTAAACAAAGAAATGAAAAAAAACCAAAAACAAACAAAGAAAACAAAAAAGAAGAAAAAAAGAAAAAAGAAAAAAGAAATGCTGCCAGGGATGTCTCTGTGCATCTGCACAGAGTAAGGGAGTAGCTTCCAAGCCACGTGGTACTGCCTGGCTAGAAGGGGCTCCCAAGACGAGAAAAGAAAGAGGAAACAAACAAATCAAACCAGAAAAAATCAGAGCAAACAAACAAACAAAAAAGCCCTGGGTGTTCCACCAGCATTGTGGCACTGGCTGGAAAGCAGTTTCACAGTTGAGCAGTGTTAGAAGCAAAGATGCCACATGGAGCCAGGTATTTGAGAGAAAGGAGGAGGAGGTGGTGAGAGGTAAGGAAGAAATCTAAAAAAGTGGAAAAAACCAACATTGGCAGCCAACAAATGGCACTCAGGGAGCTGGCCAGTGCGGGCAGGTGGAATCCATGTGGCATTGGGGGGCAGCTCATGCTTCCTGGCCAATAGAATGTGGCTGCAGGAAGCAGAGGTGGCTAAGTGGGGGTGAAGAAGGGTGGGGATGGGAAAGCCTATATCGTGGGTTACTGGTTCTGTCTCCTGCTGGAAGCTCTGTGAAGCTGCTTTCTCGTACCTCCTGTTTGCAGATCTCCAATAGGAGTCTAAGATGGCAGATACGTGCTGCGGTAGCTGATAGGGGACCTCTGCACAAATCTCTCCCCGCGCTCTGTTCTCGCTCAGTTTCTTATTCCATTCGGTGCTTGACTGAGTTCTTTATATCTTCATTTGATGCTTAGGGTTTCAGGATTGACATATGACTCTGTTTGACTTAGTTTT